TATGGTCAACAAAAACAGGAAGTGATGGGAAATCCCTTAAACCGAGCCCCTTGCAGCAGTAAAAGTCTAACCCTTCTCTACTCACTCTACTACACTTTAAGATATGGTAGCTGGAATGCCACTACCTCCTACCAAGCTATGACACGTATATATAAATACGGCTATAGACATGGCACTGGTGCCAAATGCGAAGATGTGTGGGTTCTGCAATCACCAGGTCAGGGTGGAACTGTAAAAACAACTTCCTACAACCGGAGTTTGACCGCAGCCTATTCGTATTTGCTAATAGGGAAGTGAAAGCTCCCAGGGTAAACAATGCAGAGTACTCTATTCCAAGGAGAATATTATTTTTGGTATGCATCTGAAGATATTTTGGGGCCCTTAACCACAAAGGTTTTTATTTTCTTTGTTTTGATTATTGCATTAATTTAATAACCATCATATACAAATGTGTAGGCGCCCTCTAGTGGCTATGTATGTCAAATAATGTCAGGGAAGTGTATCTAATCCCAAAAACTAAAATTGGCTGGGGGAGTGGACCTTAAGTAAAAGGGGAGCATTTACTGTTTTAAGAATGGTAGTGCATTTTTGCTGGCCCTTATACCCTGTCTACCTTATTATGCAGCTGCACAGGCCGCTTATTGATTGGAGCTGCAGTTGGGTTGGGCTTTCCAGTTGGATTGGGCCTTCCAGTTGGATTGAGCTTTCCATTTGGGTTGGGCATTCCAGTTTGGTTGAGCTTTCCAGTTGAGTTTGGGTTTCCAGTTGGGTTAGGTGTTCAAATTAGGCTAGGCTTTCAAGTTGGGTTGAGCTTTCCAGTTAGGCTGGGCTTTCCAGTTGGGTTTGGATTTCCACTTGGGTTGAGTGTCCCAGTTAGACTGGGCTTTCCAGTTGGGTTAGGCATTCCAGTTGGCTTGGGTTGGGCTTTCAAGTTGGGTTGGGCTCTCCTGTTGGATTGGGTTTTCTAGTTGGGTTGGATTTGTCAGTTTAACATACAGTTGAATGTAAGTGAAGGGTGAGGTTACTCACCTGAAGACAGAGCAACCATCTGGAAGTTCTCACCTGCCCTGCCTCTTTGTTTACTGGTATGGTGAATTTTACTTTGCCAGCGTTTTAATGGTCCCTGCTTTAGTTTTCCTGTGGATCGTGCTTAGTCAGATACCTGTCTTGAAGAGGTGGTTCAGCGTTTAGGCTATTTATACTACTTGGGTGCTCACGGTTCATCTGTGACTGGCACTAACTTATTGTTAATACAATGGTTATTGGTTTAGTCTTTTGATGTAATATCTGTTTATTCCAAAGAAACTGTGGCCTTGCCCTTTTCAACATAAACAACATTGGTGTCATTATCTTGGGCAAGGGTCTACAGTCAGAAACATAGCAGTTTCTGATGTGTGCATATGCATTTCAGCAGCCATGGCTACAGCTTCTGCTTATCTTTTGCTGTCTGTGTAACCGCTAGGAAGATTCCCCCTATCTACGTTTCCTGGTGACTATTGTCACTGAGGCAGATAGTGACAGAGAAGTAAAAAAAATGTTACAGTTGTCACCAGATCATGAATAGAGGAGGAATCTTCCAACAGGGACAATGGTGACTGACAATGTCTACACCACACTTCCTTTAAGGATCATGCAGAATTAAAAATAACCGGCTAAACCCATAAGTGCTTTTCCTTTATGTTAGCTGTTCAAAAAAAGCAAAATGGTAATAAAAGGTTTATGTAGAAGGTTTTGTGTAGAAGAACATATTTGGTGATTAAAAGGTACATTCATGATAGAGATCTATACACTAGACTAAACCTGGGAACAACTGAGAAGAGGGCCTGAGGCATTTGGTTCCAAAAGAGGGATTAGTTATTCCAAATGAGAGACATTTTTGAGGAATGTATTTGTGTGGAATGGCCCTTTAATTTAAAGTTTGTCTAGCTGAAACTTTCCTTCTTAGTTTTGGATAGAGCGGGAAAGGTTTAGAACCCCTCTCTGTTTTTTAACTGCTATCCAGGACTCCTCTAGTCAGATTTACCCTCAATTCCTATCATGCTGACAATGTTTTACCAGTCCCGGCTGCAGATTTTTCCCTAATTCCTGTCTGGTGAAGTCGCTGTCAGCAGGATCCACTTCAATTTGACTCAGGTGATAATGGAATAAATAGAATTGCTGCTCCTTACACTGCCTGGGGACTCCAACACTCTTCCGCTCACCCCAAACACACACACACAGTAGACTCATCCCTACTTATGCTGCATAAGCAATCTCCCTTCTATGCAGTGACAGATATAAAAAGAATACACGAGGTAGGCGTCTTTGACCCAGGAACTGAGCTTCAGATATCTCCAGCGAAATCCCTGAGAGATAAGAAGCCAATTAGGCCCCATTCACACACCCTTTTTAGAGCTGGCAGTGCATTCCTGCTGTAGGAATCAGCAGACTGTTGCGGCTGGAAACACAGATGGTTGTGGACAGCTGTGGCCACTCAGCCTGTACAAAGCAATGGCCTATTCACATGTATCTGCGCATGCACCAGTTACCTGCGGCTAGGGATAGATAACTAGCCTAGGGTTGCCACCTTTTCTTCGAGCCAAACCCGAACACTCTAGCGACGTGCGGACATTTTATTGGGAGAATGAGTCGCGGCTTCATGTAAATAGCGCCACTCATTTATATGTAAATATCACAGTTGAGACTATTTTCAGTGGGTGGCCAGTAGCCCCTATCTTAATTTTGGTTGCCCCTGTCTGCCTGACATGTGTCCGGGTTTCTGCAGCCATAAAACCTGGACACAGCATTCAAAACCCGAACTGTCCGGGTGAATCCTGGACAGGTGGCAACCCTAAACTAGCCCTGAACACAATGAGGTTCATTTAAAACCAATTCACAGAGCCATGCCCCATACAAATCTTTCTGAACATTCATCCTGTGTGAATACACACAAAAATTAAATTTTTTAGATATATGTTGTAAGCAATTCTAAAATGTAAAGATATATATTTATAGGTCTATTTATAAGAAATTCACAGAGCCATTCGGGTCAGATGTATGCAATGTAATACCACATTATGGCCACTAGATGGAGCTGAGGAGCATAATAAAATAAGCATTTATTCCCTATGCTTCTCAGCTCCATCTAGTGAACATAATAGAGTATTACATTGCATACATCTGACCTGAATAGCTCTGTGAATTGCTTATAAATAGACCACAATCTGTCTGCCTTTGGATGTGCAGATGCATGCTAATAGCGGCGACCAGCTGCTGCTCCTGTCAATCTGCCATTGCTTTATACTGCAGCTGTCTGTAACCACCTGTGATTCTACCTATAAGAATCAGCTGCCAACCATGTAAATAAGGCCTTCATGATTCAGCCCACAGGCATTCATTCACAGTGACCATTCCGGGTAGACTGACCCTTTTATGATGAAATACAGAGATGCACAAACAAGACAATAAATGAAGCCAACAATTGCTGTGTGATTTATCGATGTATTGTTTCTGAAAGCAAACCAAATTGTACAAGAGATAGAAACGTGCACTGCTGATATATGAATACCAGGAAACAGAACAATCAGGCAGAATCGGGGGCGTGCAAGGAGCCGGGACAGAATCAGCAGTGAGTGACCTGGCGATCTTCTTACTCCACGATTACCACTGAAAACAGAAAACAAAATGAGTCATCAGATTCATAGCAACTAATATGTCTCATCAAATATCCTTCATAATATAAACTATATGGATGAAAGTTTGTGGACACTTCACTTTAAGCTTATTGCACACCCCGTTCCATAACTATGGACATTATATAGAGTTGGCCCCCATTTGGACATTATATAGAGTTGATCCCCCTTGGACATTATATAGAGTTGGTCCCCCTTGGACATTATACAGAGTTGGCCCCCATTTGGACATTATATTGAGTTGGCCCCCATTTGGACATTATATAGAGTTGGTCCCCCTTGGACATTATATAGAGTTGGTCCCCCTTTGTGACTTTCCAGAAGATTTTGGAGTGAATCTGTGGGACTTTGTGTTTTTTCATTCAAAGAGAGCCTTTGTGAGGTCAGGTAGTGATGAACAAGGAGAAGGCTCACAATTGGCAATTCCAATTCTTCCCAAAGGTGTTCAGGAGGTTGAGATCAGGGCCCTTGGGCTCCTCACACCAACCAATCACACCATGTCTTTATGGAGCTGGCTTTGTGCACATGCTGGAACAGAAAGGGGACCTCCCCAAATTGTTATCACAAAAGGTTGGACGTGCACAGTTGTCTAAACATTGTCTATAATGTGTATTTGACCAGGTCAGCTCTCGTACCTGTCTACCAGTCATGGGCCAGAGCAATTTTTACATTTCTGCTATGGTCCTGTTCAGGGGTGGAACGGAACTACTGTCGGTGCAGCCGGCAGTGCGGCCCGCCCCTGTTGTCACCCTAGGGCAGGAAGTTTGTTAGGACTACAAAACAACATCCCCTTTCCTCATCTCCATAACATAGAGTGAAGGTGAGCTGTAGCCTTAATGCACTTCATGGTAGCACTGTTTTGAGATAAAACTGTAGGTTACACAGGACAGCTCTTGATTTCTGTCGGGATCTGCTGGTATTTTTTGCAGTTATTGAACAGGTGAATAAAGAATGCTTTTAAAGATAAATTTTCCAAACAGAAAGAGAGCAAATAAGAGCAATCCATTGCAAAGGGATTACAGGCACTTTACAACCGCTATGCAGAAAACAAGAAAGAAGCATGGAATAAAAGAGTGATTAATTAATCAGAATCTACATAGGGGTTTACTGAATGGCAGGACAAATCCGGGTAATTCCCCAGCTTCACGTTATTATAACCTCTGTTCATGGACTGTATATATTTATTATTATTATTATTATTATACAGGATTTATATAGTGCCAACAGTTTGCGCAGCACTTTACAATATCAGGAAGACATTACAATCACAATACAATTCAAGACAAGGCTATATAGGCTAGAGGCTTGTGGTTTAGGTATAGAGGTCCTTCAGTCTTGGACTACATTACCATTTGTGATGTCTGGGTAGAAGCACCATGCGGCATCAGGGTCGCTGGAGTCGAAGCAACAGCCCTTCTTGTAACACTGGTCCATGTCAATGCCGTGGAAGCCGCAGTTGACTCTCTGTTTGGGCATCACGGCGCACTGGATGGTCTCTGTCAGAGGGCAAAATTATGCAAAAGCGGTATAACTTTTATACAAGAACTTCATTAAATGTTATTTTTTACCCAAACTAACCATGACATGATCCCAGTCCAATTTCAGAAATACAACTTTATGAAAATCTGTGTGTTTTACAATCCAATTCTATCTATTTGATGCTATTTTAGGATGTGGACCTGCACTTTGCACATAGTCATTGCGCTTTGCCTTTTCTTTGGTTTTGGATAAAGTACAGTCAGAGGCGTATGTACAACAAATTCTGCCCCTGGCGCCCCATGTAAGGGCCATACATATCTCCACGTCTGGCTCTAAGCAACTTAGGGCTCTCTGGCTGGCGTCCCGCCCACATTCACATCTCCCTGCCTACTCTGGTTCATAAGAGCCAGGCAGGGAGATGTGTATGGCCCTTACACTTCTCCCCACCCAGCTCTTATCAACCTGGGATGCTCTGGCCAGCGTCCCGCCTAGCTCCTGGCAACCAGTGACGTCATTGGTTGATAGGAGCTGGGTGGGACACTGGCTACAGCGCCCCAGGTTGCTAAGAGCCAGACGGGAAGATGTGCAAGGGTCATACACATCTCCCCGCCTGATTCTTAGAAACCAGAGTGGTGGGGAGATGTCTATGTGAGCAGAACCCCTTCCAGAGCATCCCAGGTTTCTATAAGCCAGCCAGGGAGATGTGGATGGCCCTTACACTTCTCCCCACCCAGTTCTTAGCAACCTGGGATGCTCTGGCCGGTGTCCTGCTCAGCTCGGGGCCATCAGTGATCTCACTGACATCGCTCTTAGTAACCAGGGGAACCAGCCAGAGCATCCCAGGTTGCTAAGAGCCAGGCATGAAGAAGTGTATAAGAGTGGTGAGGAGATAAAAAAAGTCAGCTGTCTCTGTGGGTTGGCAAAGTTTCACTCACCCATAGAGTGGCGCCCCCCCCCTTCAAGTGACGCCCAGGGCATATGCCATACCATGGATATAGTCCATATACCCATCACACTCAGAACCACTGTTCCATCTAATAGGAAGTGGGTGCAACGGATGTCGATGGGAGGAAAGTACAAAGTAGAAAGATGGACACTGGCACTCCAAGGCAGATCAAGTACGTTTAATTATTCATGTACATGTTGCAAAGTCAAACACTCAGTGAGTGTTTGATTTTGCAACATGTACGTGAATAAATAGATGTGCTTGATCTGCCTTGGAGTGCCAGTGTCCATCTTTCTACTTTTTCCCCTGGATATGCCACTGAGTACAGTTCGAACTACTACTTGGTTTTGTTTTTTCCTGTCTAAGGACGCTTTGGGAAGGTTACCCCTCACTTCTTATCCCAGAAATACCCAGTCACACACTCATACACAGTGGGGTTGATTTACTACTACTTTCCAAGCCCAGTCTTGCTAAAGGCAGATTGGCTGTTCACTTTGCAAGATAATTTTTCCCTTAGTGAATGAGGTGAAACTCTACTTCCATCATCCAATCATCTGCAAGCAAAAATAATGTTGTTTTTTTTTTTACATTTCCTTGCACATGGTTGGACATTCTTCTCAAAGTCAATGTACACCACAATCACTAAGCTAAGGGAAAATTCCCTTGCAAAGTGAACAGCCGATTTGTCATAATTAGATCAACTCCATGGTGTCACTGGGACATTAAGGAAGTAAGGGCCTGGCAAGTAGTATTTTTAAAAAGAGAGACCAGGAATTGAAGCCACCTTAGCAGCAGTAGATTTATTTTAAAGCGTCAGGGGACCCAAAAGTGATATTTCGTTATAGGTGGACCCTGGTGAGCTAAGTCAGCCCCTGGCTTCCTGTATTTCTTGAATGCTCCAAGGTTTGAGCTCTCCCTGTTTAACTCTGTTCCTGTCCACGTGGGAGATTAGGATGTTCCCACTCACTGTTTTGTGTTCTCAGCTCCTCCTGCTACATTCTACAAAATGTAAAATCATTAATACTCCAGCAGGGATGGTGGGAGCTCCTCATAATGGGCAGGCCCAGAAACTCGGTGCAGAAATCTCACCAGTAGAGTCCCCGAGAGACAGAAAAGACTGTCAGGGGTTTAGCTCTCCAGCATCTACCAGACACTGAAATGTCTATTCTGGTTAGACTGGATTCTCTGCAAGCTTTTCCGAAAGTATTTCTGCAACAAACTAAAAGAAAAATGCAGCAAAACAACCAACCTGTCTTAACCTGAGGCTTGAAGCACCATGGTACACCATTCACACTGCTGTCAAAGCAACATCCATTTTGCATGCACTCTTCAGGGTTGACGCCGGGTGGTCCACAGTTGGCCCTCTTATGGGGCAATACAGCGTCGCAGTCGTGTTCCACTGGAGTGAAAATAAAAGAGACTTTACTACATCACGGTTACCTGGAAACATGTTTTTTTAATGGAGCAGCCTAAGCTTTGAAATATAGAGCCCTTATCTCAAACAGTCTTAAAGTGTGGGCCAAAGCAGCCGGTTAATTTGCATATAGGCACAACCAGTATTAGCTAAACTTTCCTACCCTCACAAATCCTGCCACCTCCTGCAAACAAAATATTACACATGGATGTTGCATATTATCAAATGCAGCCATCAGGTGGCACCCTATCCAAGTTCTGTGCTCTATGGAGGAGTATGTCATGTGACACACATCCCTTTTCCCCATAATGCAGCTTTGGGTGCCTAAATGGCCAATCGCTGGGCCAGAGCACTGTCAAGCGGGCTGGGGTGAGGGTGCTTAGCCCTGTGTGAGGTCCCACCTCAGTTACTTATACTATACCTGGCTTCTTTCAATTGGAGGGAATGATAGGAAGGTGAGTATTTGCAGGGGGGTGTGAAATTTGGAGTGACCAATGCCATTCCCCTTACTAACCCATCTAACACAGTGCATAGAGGCTGTTGTAAGCATTTAATTGTTCCCTCTCTTCTGTCATGGCTCCCCAGCAATTCCTAGATAGCAGCTGTGAAAACTCTGAAACAAATCAATTTTGCTGAACTGGAAGGTTGGAGAAATGGTCAGATGTCCTAATCTACATATATACTTGTTGCAGAACAATAACTCACAGTAATCAAGCGAGAGGGTCAACATGAAAACCAAGCAAGTAGCATTTAAGAAATGCTTATCAATCCAAGCCTCCATGTTTCTCTCCATATCAGTTTTCCATTAAGACATTATTACCTCTCCTCTGACCCAGTAAGATCTATTTTTAGCACACAACCATGCTGAAGAGACTTGCAGACTTGAAGAAAAAACTTGCATAGGGCACAATCTGCTGGCTGCAGGTGGTAAAGCTGAACTCTTATCTTTTATGCAAACTTACATTAGTCCAGCTTGGCTCAAATTGAGTTACCATATCTGATCTCCGGAGGGCCGCTGGGGAGTTGTAGTCACAGTTGTAGTCAGCCATTCATATAGTAATACCCTGTTTCCCCAAAAGTAAGACCTACCCCGAAAATAAGACCTAGTACTATTTTTGGGAATTGCTAAAACATAAGACCTACCCCGAAAATAAGACCTAGTTGTGACCATTCCCAGGGCCGGTGGTCGCATAAGGGGGAACTTGAAGAGCCGCGGGAGAGAATCAGCGGTGCCAACGAAGCCAGCGCTAGAGGAAGCGAGGCGGCACCGGAGGGAGCAGAGCCGCATAAGCCGATGCTTCCTCTATAGCGCATGCTCTTGTCACAGGCGGAGTGATACCAGATGCACTCCGCCTGTGAGGAATCGATAGTGAAAGTGCGCTTCACTCATTCTGGCCAGCGATTGCCTTGATCACCATATTTTTGTACATGAATAAGTGTGGATTGTTGTACATTAAAAAAAGAAAAATAAGACCTACCCCAAAAATAAGACCTAGTGTGTTTTTTTGAGCCCAAAAAAATATAAGACAGTGTCTTATTTACGGGGAAACACGGTAGATGGTCTCCTCCAGCTCAGCTCTTGTGGCTCCCCCTCTGCACACTGAGCACAGGGAGCCGCTCGCTCAGCACTGCCACCATTTAGAAGACACCTTTTATTTTTTTTTCATCTGATGGTGGTCTTCTCCCCTCCCTAGTTATGAGCATGCAGGTTTACGCATTGAGAACCGGCATGTTTGTAGAGAGATCTTTGACTAGAAAGATCCATTGGTCATTGCTGGACAACTGGTCAGATATAACTGCTTAGCCTGTGTACTGTACCTGCTTGAATTTCTGGCTGGTAACACCACACCACTTGGGGGATGGCGTCGTCGAAGCAGCATCCTTTGTCTGTGCAGTCCTTCTCTGAGATGCCATTGTACCCGCAGTTCACTCTGGCCTTGGGTCCTGCTGGATTGCACTCGGTGGCTGCATAATGCAATTAAGAGAGTCAGTATGTGAGTCAACAGTATCAAGTTTAAACATGCAATGAGGGAAATACACCAAGCAAGTGATGAACCAAGCCCATGTAGTGCCAATCAGGTCTCTCTGAGGAGCAGTCCCCCATAGCTCTCTCATTTAGGTCCCATGCACACGTTTGTATTCAAGGAAAACAATGCAAATTTGGGCTTACACAGCTGGTGCGTACAGCCGCCAATAGACACGACTTGATGTGCGTGGCTGCACACGGGCAGGTCTGCCAATAGGGCCCAGTACAGCTTACCTGACAGGTCCTCCCTTGTCAACCTCATCGCTTCCCACACAGGCAGCAATAAAGATCTCCCTCCAAAGCAGCAATTCTAATCCCCCCCAGACATCAATATTAACCTAGTATTGCTGCCGGGGGGAGGAAAGTTAACATTGCTGTCTGAAGAGAGATAATTATTTACCAAAAGTTATGAATAACCTATTATTTAAATTATTATTACTATATATAATATAAGGTTATCACTCATAGGGTTCGGACCCTGGGGCAGCACTCACTGTCTGCGTCCCAGACTCCCAGCCAGGGGTGTTCAAGCTCCGGCCCTCAAGCTGTGGGGAAACTTCAAATCCCATGATGCATCTGTCCCTGGGAATCATGCCTGTGGGAATCTTGCAATGCCTCATGGGATTTGCATTTCTGCAACAGTTGGGGGGCCGTGGTTTGCCCACTCCTGGTCTAGGCTAACCAAGACTGTAGATGTAAACCCAATCATTACATTCTCACAATAGCTTCAACATCTGGAAGGCATTTCAAAAGTCATTTTTTTATATTTTCAAATCTTCAGCTGTTATTAAAATAATACACAGTAATCCTGCAAAGGAGGTTCTGGTCCATTAATTTCCCCGATTGGGTGACAACGCTCACTTTGTCTTGAACACGCTGTCCCTGACTCTTAACTGTGCACCTGCGTTGTCACCCTGTCACATGATCTCCCAATGGGGACTACCACCAGTATCAAATTGCACAGACATGGCCGTCTATGCCACCAGGAAACCTGCCCTGAGAAATGCCATGCAACTATTGATGAAGTGTAAGTGGCTGCAAAGAGGCTGCTGCTGATCACAGTTTACGTGTTTATGATACACCATGCTTCAGCAATTGAAATGCCAATAATTTAAGGTGTACACCTACTTTTAATGCAAAATGTTAATGTGGACTATGTTGCACAGGGACTAGGGATAGGAAAACATTGTCAGCATTTCACTTACCTTCGAATTTCCATGGAGTGTAGCACCAGATACTGTCCATCACTGAATTGTCATAGCAACAACCCTTCTTCAGACACGCCTCCTCTGTGATCATGGGGTCGCCACAGTTGTCTCTCGATTTGGGTTGGACTCCGCACTTATCTGTTTAAAAAGGAGAGCAGAAATAGATGTGAGCTGTTTCATCCATATGTTCCACTTATTACCATCTCTACATCAGTTTTAAAGTGTATGGTCTAAGTTTTGAATAGAGTAGAGTTAGAGAGATTTCCCCTCACTTCCTGTCCTGCTGACAATGGTTTTACCAGACAGGAAGTGAAGGGAAATCTCCAACAGCAATACAGATACAAATTAAAATCCTTTTCTTTAGTAGAATAGAGGAATATGACTATAAAGGCTAGAAAGGTCAGATTCTTAATTCTGTCTGGGTTCCAGTTGCAGATTCCCTCTCACTTCTTGTCTGGTGACAATGTTTTATAAGACAGGAAGTGAGGAGTGTTGGTTATGTGTTTAGATGAAGCATTGAGATCTTGAGGAGTGCTGAATTAAGTTTTACGTGCTTAGAAGAACTTTATATCGACAGAATGCAGCATTACGCAGGAAACACATATATAGGACTTCCTGTGTATCATAGATAATGCATGCATGTAGAAAAGTAACATTGTATTACAGAGCCATCTACAGCTCAAAAGACATAACAGCATATGCATTGCTATATGACATTCAGCTTCTCTCAAAGGAAACCGTGACGATCCTTTGGTAATGGCTTGGTGAGTGCATCTGCAGTCATTTCTTCTGATGAGCAATACTTCATGTCAATAATAGTCTGCTCGAGTGTCCCTAAGCAGATGATACGTCATGCCGATGTGCTTGGTTTTAGGGTTGACCCTTTCTGATTGTGTCAGCTTTACACATCCCTGGCTGTCTTCAAAGATTGAAATGGGGTTTGACATGTCTATACCCATGTCCATTAAAAGATGGTTGTTGCATTTCCTACAAGGAGAACGCTCCCACAGCAACACAGTAAGTAATACAAATAATTTTCTTTAGTAGAATAGAGGAAGGCTACAACCCGCTGTCAGATTATTTCTGTCTGGGTTCCAGTTGCAGATTTTTCCTTCACTTCCTGTGCTGCTGACAACATTTTACCAGACAGAAGGTGAGGAGAACCTTCCAACAGCAGCACTGGCAGAAATTAAAATCCTTTTCCTTGGAAGAGTAGGGGAAGGGTAGAACCCCTGTCAGATTGTTATTTCTGCCTGAGTTCCAGTTGCAGATTTCCCATCACTTCCTGTCCTGCTGACAACGTTTTACCAGACAGGAAGCGAGGAGAACTCTCGAACAGCAATACAGACAGACGTTAAAATGATTTTCTTTAGGGGAGTAGAGTAGATGCTTCATGGGACTTGTAGTTCCACACCAGGTGGAGGGCCGGAGCCGCCCACCCGTGTTTCAAGCCAATAGGAAGCTAGTTACTAGGAGGAGGAGAAGGTTGTTTAGGTGTGAAGTCAGGTGGAAAACGCTTTGCGCTCCTTTTCAGGTGCTCTCACTGAAACCTATGGGGCCAAAAATGCATGATTCTGCCCGAAACATGTACTTCCTTGAGCTACAAGCAACACAACGCTGAGGTGTGAACAGGCACCACTAAATATAATGGGATTCTTCATGTTGAGCGTTGTCATGCTTTGGGAAACATGCGACAAAACATTCAGGTGTGAATGAGAGCTGAAAGCCCCATTCACACCTATGCAGTAAAACGTGCATTACCATATGCAGTGGTGGCATTCATTGTGAATAGCCCCCCAAGAAGCATGAGGCCACGCAGCAATTCACAAATGATATGTATTATATAGGTGAGCGCTCCGCATCTATCTATCTATCTATCTATCTATCTATCTATCTATCTATCTATCTATCTATCTATCATTTAAAATGTCATATTGATGCAGTTATCTTATATTAATATATAACAGAAAATGGCTGATATCAATCGCTACATTCCCCATAATATGAAGAGCCCTGTTCTGCGGACACTTACAGTTCACCGGAAGGTATGCCTGACTCCCTATGATAAGGCCGGCCACCAGCAAGCAAATGGTGTAGCGCTCCATCGTTGTTCTCCTGTGCAGCCAAGTCGAAGTGTGGTGCTCTCCTCGCAGACAATGTTTTATATCAGAGTTTTGTTTGCTTAATTGGCGTTGATAACCTAAAATTTTTTTTTCTTAACCGTAACGAGTAAAGCACACAAGCCGCATAATATTTGTCCAGATGATGGAGATAGGGATAGGAGGCTTTGTCCAAGGCTTTATGTGACAAATATTACGTGGCATGGAAATAGAAATTAATTAGCCAATTATGATTTCTTATTTTGTATTTAATATTTGTATTTTTTTTTTTACTTTTGTATCTCTTGTGTAACTTTCTTATCTGGTGATAAGTTTTTAATTCAGATCGCGGTTATCAAATATCAGGCAGTCAGATCTCAATTTCGTGCACAATCTCCATAGCTATTTTCGCCTATCCACAATTAATGATTAGGTTTATGTTATTCATTTCACTGACATAGTCATCAGGGCCGGCCTTAGGCCTTTAGGCGCCCTGTGCGAGAAAGCTTTACAGCGCCCCTCACATGAAGAGAATATGTAGCCTGTTTATAGTCAATTTGAATTGTCCCTTTAATTGTGCCTCAGGTGGGAAAGACCCCTGGGGGAGTTGCTGGCAATGTTGGGTTCTCCTATGGTTCTAATGATGACCCGCTCTGTAACCAGACCCAACAGTACACTGACACACCAGTAGCAGGTATCTGGGGTTTATTAATATAGGGACAACCCCTATAAACAAATAATAGCAAAGCAATAGTGGAAGTAATAATAAAATCAATAACATTATAGCAGTACAGTATAAACACAAAGTGAAGTGAACAAAAAGAGAATTGGATCTCTTTGTCACTTGTAAGAGGCCTCAAACTTACTAGGCAGGTAGAGACCGATGTTCCAATAGCGGTTAGATACGATCAGTGGTGTATTTAGTTTTTGCGCTGTCCTAGGCAAGACTAAACTCGGACACCCCCCAATCTAAATTTGCCCACCTTTGCCTGTTTAAGATATTTTGCATGATCTGTCAATCGCTGGATACATCGCAAACACAGGTTGTGAAGAATCTCTGCAGAGCCCACCATAGACCCCCCACAGCCCACCCTAGATCTTGCACAGCTCGCCTGAGACCCTGCAGACCCCACCATAGACACCGCATAGCCCACCATAGATCCTGCACAGCCCTTCTGAGACTCTCAGGTGGGCTGTGCAGGATCTATGGTGGGCTCTGCAGGGTCTTAGGTGGGCTGTGCAGGGTCCCTTTCTGTGTACACATGTACTGCTCCTCTTACTTGCAGCTCCCCAGCCTGCCTCCAGGATATCCCACCATCAGATCTTGGGTTATGGGCAGCCTAACCCACCCACAGCTTCTCCTCCAACTCCGCCGGCCGGGCCACATCACACTCCTCCTATGCCGAGCAGCTCTCTCAGGCAAATTAGGTGGCCGTGAGGTTCCACAAGCCTAATTTGCCTGATTAGGCAGTCGAGGCTACATGATTTTGTGCGGCCTGGCTCACCTCACTGATTTGGGCGCAGTGTTTTTTGCCACCCCCTTGGAAAATGCCGCCAAAGGCAAACACCTTGTTTGCCTTGCTGTGGATACACCCCTGGATACAATTCCAATAAAACAGTATTTAATACAAGGGTACCCCCAGGTGTATGGTACGACGGGTGCAGCTAATAACTGGGGTTGGGGACAATCCAACAGCCCTGACTAACCACTGATAAGCAGGTAAAACTGCCAGCAGTGGGGCCCTTAAGCTCAGCAGTGGTGTGCTCTACCATGATATGTTTAACCCACAAAGGGTAAGCGGGTCTCCATAAAGTACCCAGCCCAACTATCAGCAAAAGAATGGTCATGTTCAATTCAAAGAAGGATTCACCCAGTTGCAGTGCTCTCAAACCTTTAAAGGTAGTGATCATCACAGAGTTGGGTGGCCAAAGGGACTCTCACTAATGCAACAGTCATTGATGGTCCACCTGAGTCCTGTCTGTACACTGATAACCCTTCTTGTGGGCGAGATAGAGATGTATGAAGGTTAGTCCACAGTATACAGTATATGGCAGATTTCTCCTGGAGCTTTCCTTTCCCCTGGGTCTCCTCCACAGCAGTTCTCACACAGGGGGAACTTCATGAGGTTGAGCAACCCTAAATTTTATCCCTTTTCCTAGTGCCTAGTGGGTTTTCACCTCTCAGCATCCTTCGTTGCTTGCCTGGCACACTTGTACTGCCAATGCTGAATGGCGGTCCTAAGTTCCCTTGCAACCCTTGCAGCCAATCACTTAACATCTTCTTGAGCTGTCCATCACCAGTGGGGATTACACCAACTAGGCTGCGGTGCAGCCTAATGATGCCTGGGCTGTGCAGCTCCAGTAATTTAAAGGGGCTGAAAGCCAGGACAACACTTTTTGGGTTGTGGCAGGAACCCCCACAGACACAGGGAGAACACGTAATCTGCAGGCAGTGTGTTTAGTGGGACATATCTCAGAGTCCCATTGCTGCAAGACAAGAATAGCAAATAATTAGCTGTCTTACTGCCATTTTTAAAGGGAACCCCACTTTTTTCTTTTTTTGGTTATTTGCCCCCCCCCCCCCTAATATTCCTTCCAGACCTAAAGGGTCTAGTATGAATTGGGGAGGGGACTACATGTTTTTTATTATTCTATTTTTAACCACTTTCAGGGATTTGGTCCGCTTCGGTAGACCATTCTTCCCACTTTGGCTGTTTGTTTGACTTTGTTGAGCCAAAGCATGTTCGTTCAGCTCGGCTGCACTTGGGTGTTTGAAAATAGCGCGTAAAGCAGACCTTCGGTTTGGCTGCACCGAAGGGTTTCTGCATCCGAACTGAGCTGAAGGATTACCCGAATGTTCGGCTAAATCCTTTGGCTCTTTTGGGTGAACAACCCACCCTTGTTGTGTCTCTTTTCTTCACTGGGGAGTATAGGGTGTATTTGAACTGGATGGAAATTTTTCGCCACTTCTTGTCCTGGGGACACTAAAGAAAGTGTCAGTAAATCTCTTTAAAGCAGGGTTTCTCAGCTGGGATTCCGCCACCTCCGCCACTAGAGCAGGTTCGTATCCACTCAACAGTGGCTTCAATAGCCCCGCTGCAAACTACCATTGTGGTGGATAAACCTCTGCTGAACGGTGCCTTGAATTGGAGTAGAGTGATGTTGAGCTGATTAATATCCACCTGACATTACTCTCTTACTTCTGATGCCTGACATCACCAGCAATGTTGGGACAAGGAACAGCTGCTTAGAATTAGGTATGCTTTTTCTGTTGATTGCTGTTGATAATTAGGTATGCTATATGTGATTCAAAAGATTGTTTACCTGGCTGCAATGGACTCTTTGTGCTACTTGGTTCCGTAGCAGTCATGTGGACAGCTACTGCTGTAGGTTTATTCTTGGGTCAGCAACATTACAACAGGTATACAATTCCATATACAAGGAGTTAAAATGGTTGCTCAGCATGCCTTCTCGATGCTGAATGAATTTTCCCCAACAACTGGAGCAGAAGAATAGAATAGATTCCCAGTCCCTCCTATTTGTATGTCTCTCGCTCCTGCTCTATGTTCCTCTGAGTGTTCCTCCATGGTCAAGACAATCTGCTGAAATTCAAACCGAGCATCAGAATGGGGAAGAAAGGTGAGTGAAGTGACTATGAATGTTGCACGTTTGTTGCTGTCAGTAACTGCTGATCTTCTAGGATTTTCACGCACAACCATCTCTAGGGTTTACAGAGAATTGTCTGACAAAGAGAAAATATCTAGTGAGCGGCGGTTCTCTGGGCAAAAATGCCTTGTTGATGCCAGAAGTCAGAGAAGAATGGCCAGATAGGTTCAAGATGACAGAAAGGCAACAGTAACTCAAGTATCCACTCGTTAAATCTGAGGTATTCAGAGGAGCATCTCTGAGCGTACATGTTGAACCTAAGGCCTTGTTCACACCAAGCGCGGAGCAGGTGCAGAGCAGAGCACTTACAGACCGGAGCAAAACTGCGTCCAATGTATTCCAATGGTATTTTTAGCTCCAGTTCACATGGCAGCGTTCAGTTCCAGAGCAGGTAAAAAAAACTGCAGCAGGACCTATTTTACTCGGGACCTGCTCTGCTGGACCTCTGGACCTGCTCTGCTCCGTTTTTTAACCAAAAACGGCCCGGAACGCATGAAAAACACCGCAAAAAACGTGGCACAACCCGCTGCACTGCGTGTGCAGAAACTCATGCAGATCTGCTCTGTATTTGGTGTGAACAAGGCTTAGGCAAATGGTCTATAGCAGCAGAAGACCACACATGGCGCCACTCCTGTCAGCTAAGAACAGGAAACCGGGGCTATAATTCACAAAGGCTCACCAAAATTGGGCAATAGAAGATTGCAAAAATGTTGCCTGGACTAATGAGTCTCGATTTCTGCTCCAACATTCGGATGATCGGGTCAGAATTTGGCATAAACAACATGAAAGCATGGATCCATCCTGCCTCATCACGGCTGGTGATGGGGGTATAATGGTGTGGGGCAGGGCTGTCTTTAACGCGGGGCAAAGAGGGCGCTTGCCCCGGGCCCATGGCTGTGGGGCCCAAAGCAGCTGCTCCTTGAGCCCGCTGCCAGCAGAAACTTGCCGATCGGATCGCCTGCGTATGGCGCACGGATCGGTAGGGTGTCCGTACCGTCCGTACACGACTCGTACGGAACAGTTGGTACGTCCCAAACCCCCCATCCAATGTGATGTTTTGGTACCTTCCTGCCCACATGCAGGAAGGGTTTTTTTTCCTCAGGGGCAGCCGCGGAGCTCTCACAGCTATGCGCACACCGGCCCGTTCCGCAACTATCGGGCGAGATCACCACAGTAAAAGCAAGCAGCTGGCCTGGTGTCCAAGACTGAATAGGGGCCTGACACTGGGGTGAGGGTAGGGCAAGCCTTTGCAGAGGACGGCAGCTGTTCTCTGCAAAACCCACCAGCCAATGAGAAGAGACCTCACCCCTCCCATCCACCACACGAGGATCTCTGGCTGGGAGTTTGGAGTTTATCTTCAGCAGCAGATGGAGACTATGTC